TCCACTCCAATTTCACTAAAAAAAAAAATAGTATATATGTGTGTGTGTATGTGTGTATGTTTCCCAGACTCTCTCTGTCACATTTCCTCCCCTACCCACCTGTCATTTACTAGTAAATGACACACGAGCTTTTATATCAGCAAAATATGAGAAAACCCAGTCCAACATGCTTCTTACTAGGGTCTACTTAAACATATGTCTCTTCCAGCATGCAAAGGTAGAGTCCTTAGTTCTTTTTAGGGCTCATTATGCCCATTTACATTTTCATTGTCCTTACGATACATATGTACATGCAACTTCCAGTTAATGTTCACTGTTTTGGTGTTCTCATGCAATAGAACCTTTTCCCATAGTTCACTAGTTTGAGTGTTCTTTCCCTTTTTTCTTTTGAAGTTCGCAACACTCCTTACCAATTATTTCAGTCTCATTACTAAAAATAAAAAAAATTCGATTTACTTTGTAAATCTGTCCCTCCGATTTTTGTCTTGCCTTCACAACAGGCTTTGTCGATCTTTTGTTGGTTTAGGTCCTTCCACGACAATCGTGGACGCTTCTTCAATATCAGTTAGGGGTCCCAATGCACTCAGGTGGGACCTACCTTGCTAAAGTGCACTAACTGGAATCCCTCCTTCGCTCATGCACTCCCGTGCCAGTTTATTCTGCCCGGTCGACAATACCACATGCCACTTCAACTGCCACCAAACCAGCAAGGCCACAACTATCATTAGTATAATTCCCACAACGTCCGGCTAGGTTATTATAGCAACCCAATTCTCTCTCCAGCCCGAATTCGGTGTACCTATCCTATCTAACTCCGACTTCAACCATCCAAGATCTATCTTATTGATTGGCTTTAACAACGCCGGCATCTTTTCTACCGACATCTTAGGAATCTCTCTTACAATGGGTTCCCACAATCCTGTCCATTCACTGGCATTCATTCCTACCAGCTCTAACAAAGCCTCATTCTCTTCAAACTTCTCTTCTGCTTGGTAGTAGGGGGGGGGTAAAGAGATAGATGTACCATGAGCTCCACAACCATGGTTAGCTCTACGAAAAACAAAAGGGGGAATATCCCTTCACACACCTTAGATAATTCGATCTCTTCTTGTGTGGCCACCGCCCAAATTCAAATCACCGTCACTGGTTGCTTTAGGTAACATTACACTAGCCAACACCTCTACCTGACAATGATCTCCCTAATTCCCTTCTTATTTTTCTTAAATAAATCTAGTACACACAGATTATCACTACCTGTCATGTAAATTGGACTTACATACCCAGAGGTACCTAAGGCATCATTCTTGCATTTTTTTTGCTTCTCCCTTTGTTAATAGCATAAACTCCTGGCTAGGTTTAGGGCAACAAATTCCATCTCTGCCTGATCTCCTATCTTCAGCCTTACTTTTGGATAGGGAAGGGGAAGATTCATCACCTGATAAATTTCAAAGGTACTATCTCTGTCCAGTAATGGAACCAACACTAGCAATTTGTCATCTTCCAACAAGGTAGTACATTCCAAGGTACTATGATACCTCCATAACTGCTGAGTGGGGTCTAGAGGTAACCTAAGGTGATGGGGTAGTTTGGCTTGTATCTCCAGTAGTACTTCCCTTAATTGTTCCGGGGTTATTATACTCGGAGACAGGTGTCCCAGCGACAGCATGTCTAATTGTGCTCTCACATGCTCTAACAACACCGTTAAAGAGTGACTTGTTTGATGTACCTTACTCATTATAGCTAATAATTGAAAATACCTTTGCAAAAACCCCTCTAATTTCTGTAATTCGGTTGTTACAGATGTGGTTACATTTATCACTTCTTTTCTAAAAACCTGTAGGTGAGAAATCAACCAATTAATACTCCCTCTATTCTTAGCCAATTCCAGCCTAGTAACATTGAGTATAGATACGCTCTCTCTAACTGACTGAGCCATTGCTTGTTGTCTCTGTTCTACCACCTTTAATTTCCTCTTAATTACTCTCACTTTGTCTTCGGAAACTCTACCAAACAACACACTTAATGCCTTTCCCATTATAGTTAATACTGCCCTCTTTTGCCTGGTCTGTAACAACATTATTCCTTTCAAATAATAACATATCCTTCCATTGTCTCAAGTATTAGGGATTCCTGAGCTGAGGGGTATAATATACGGTGGTATTCTGGTGTCTGTAAATAGTCACCGGCGACTTGTGTCCTGGCTGTATCTAGTTTGTCCATTTCGGTCTTCAACTGACCCAGTAACTTCTCATACAGTCTATCACCAAAGTTATCAACCATTTTAATCTCGTTATAATCACTTCACTAGTCTTCTTAAATGGAGTATTCTCACTGTATTCACAGGTATTAGCTACCCTTTAGCATCGTCAGTACCACGAGCCTCCTCTCGTCCATGTCTGCCAAAGAGATGGAGAGAATAATTTTCTTACTCAATCATTCTCTTTTATTGTTTTTTTGAGTGGGTGATTGCATCTTAGAGCGATACCTCAAGCACCGACCCACACCACCACCAGCGCCATGCATGCATGGGAGCCATCCACACAGTTCACCAGCACTGATGATAAATGCACAGTTAGTCCCAGACTGTAACTCATTCACCACAGCCACTGTACTGATTTCACTTAATCCTTGGGCTCGGGCTGCACTGCTTCCGTCAATTGCCGTTTTAGTGGCAATTCCTCATTAACACTAGGTGCTTTTTTAGCCCGCAATTTACTTTGCAATTGAGCTAATGGAATTTCATCCTCCTCTTCCCATTCACTCAATTCTTCTTCTTCCCTAAGGTTAGGTTCAATCCCTGCTTCCTCGGAATGTCCGGCTGGGACCCGACTTACCTCCCTCAGCTTTTGAAGGGTAGTTGGGCTAATTTCAATCTCCTAACTCGCTTCACTAACTTTCAGTCTCTAACCCTTCAGGTTCTACCAATGTAGTTTTCCTCAGCCTTTTCTGTTGAGTTTTTTGTTTCGGCTCCTTTCCATTTTCCTATTTCAGCTAGCTTTATATCATTCGCATGCACTCTCTTTACCTGTCCGGTCAATTGGTCCCAGATCAGGAAACCGGACCCATCTACTCCATGATCCTATAGTATGGACTCCATCTCTGGTCCAATTTACCTTCTCTCATGTGTATTTTATAATACACTGGATCACCTATCAGGAAGGAAACTTCTCTATGTTATTTACCCTATCGTTTCACCTTTTCTGGGCTCTTTGAATCCTCCTCCTCCTCACCTGTGTAAAAATTTTATGCTGTTGTTCTAAAATTATTTGATGATGATCCTCTCCTAAATACTTCCTCCTAGGTCTATAGGTAAGACTACATCCCTGCCATATATCGAGTAATAAGGGGAAAATTTTGTCATCTCGTTCATCAAGAATCTCACAGCTGCTAACACTTGGGTTACAAATAAACCCCAATTTTCCCTATTATCCTCTGTTCGTTTAGCTAACACATCTGCGAGGGTCTTATGAAATCTTTCTACCTTAGCGTTACTTTGGGGGTGATATGGAGAGGTGGTTATGTGCTGTATGTTTAATTCTCCCAACATCTCTGTCATAATCTGATTCATATTCTCCGATCCATTATTGGTAACAAACTGTTTGGGGGCTCCACACCTAGGGAATATTTTGTTCAGTATTATATCTGACACCATTCGTACCTTCTTATCCGGTATGGCAAATGCCTCAGGCCAATTTGTCAGCCAGTCCACAAAACTAACTATGTAAAGATTACCTCTATGTGTTTCTCCATAGGGCCTGGAAATATCCATGCTTACTTTCTGAAATGGATAATTCGGAACATCCGTTTCTAATACTGGGGCAACTCTACTCCTTCGACTCTGTACTTGGCATGTTACACATTTTTTGACATGGTTCACAACATCATTAAACAACTTAGGCCAGTAGTAATTTCTAGTTATTAATCCATACGTCTTATCAATTACCAGGTGTCCTCTACTAATTTTCTTCTAAGGATTGGGGTCCTATACGGTCTTAACTTAGGTTGGTGATTACCCATGTCTATCTTCATTACAACTGTCTCCATCTGTCCCAGTTCCTTATCCGTAATGGCTATTACCTCCCAATTACCATTCAGCATCCCCCTCAATTTCCTCCTCAGGAGCTGTTATATCTTCATCCCTTATTTCATTGCTACCTGTTTTATTCCCAGGCCTATTCCCATTCCATACTCTCACCTGTTTGAGTTCTCTCACTGGGCACGCCTGTGCCAGCTCATCTCCCTGCTTTATTTTAATAGTTTTATTGGCAGTATTGGTTAACAGTAAAGGAACGGTCTCTGACCTCTTCACCAACGAATCAGACACGGTTATTTCCCCTTCACTATTATCATACCTATCAGTAGGGGCCACTTGATACAGGTCACTGTTCAGCATTCCTTCTGTTATAATCTTGCCCTTCCCAGATACAGTAGTCCTAGGGCGAAGCTTTATATCTGTCTGGGCCACCACTGGCAATTGTTCATAATTATCCTCTCCCAACAGTATCCTTACCCCGTCCAATGTTAGGGTGGCGGGGTTGAAATGGATCTGTGCCTTATTCTGCCTAAGCCAGTCACTCCCCAAAATTAGCTCACCACACAAGTCAGGTGCCACATAAACCTTAAGTTTACCTCTGGTTCTTGCCAACTGGAAAGGTAGCCACGTCATACCCTCTATCCTCATCCTGCTACTATCAGCCTGACTTATTAGTAGATTGATGGGACTAAGCTTCGTTTTCAGTCCCAACTGTCTAAAAACCTTGGAGATAACCAGTGACACTTAAGCTTCAGTATCGACAAGGGCCTTCACCTTCTTGTCTCCCAGCAACACATTACAGGTGAAGTCTGGTCCTTCCTTCAGCAAACTGTATACCTGTGCCTTTCTCCTTCCCGTATGTTCTCTCACTTCCTCTCGCCTTCTCAACAACCGAGACGTGGGAGTCGGTGACAGGAGTTCAACTTTTTCTAGGGCCTAGGAAAACTCCAGGGTGGGGTAGAGCTCAATGACTCTCTTTTTTCTCGGACTAGCAACCCATTTCTCCCCTCCATTCGAAAGTTAGGTTTGTTCCATTCGTGTGGTCCATCTTTCCCTGAGAGGACAGGTTCGCCTCAGGTGACCCGCTCTCCACATCGCCAACACCTTTGCTCCTTATAACTGGCCGGAAAGTGCCCGACCACACCATGTCCAGCATCTCAAAGGTCTTATTTGCACTGGGGCCACCCCTGCATCTTACTTTTTTCACGGGTGACCAATCGACGTTTCCCAGACCCTTTTCTTTCTCGTGGGGCGACGAGAGTATTAACTCGCTTTATCCCCAGTTTACATCCTCTCTCTGCTGTACACCACCGAGCCTTGTGCCCGAACTCGCCACAAGTCGTGCAGTCTGGCCCCAAAGACCTTGGGTCGCCTCCATAGTTTGTCAGACAGTCATGCGGGCTGATGCCCACCATACTTGCAAGTCCAGCACACCAGCCCATATCGGCCTGGTGTGGGCTTGTGAAGCCCATAACACAGATCCCAGGCTCTCCTCTTGGGAACTGCTTCAGCCTTCCAGTCCTCTTCCACTTCTTCTTTCAGGTTCCTACCTACACCCCCTTTTATTTTATCCCAGAGTTGTTCGCTGGTCCGAGCCATCTCTATGGCTGAGGCCAGGCTGACCGGCCCCAACTTCAGAACATCACCCCTCAGGTCCCTGTCACTAATTGCGTCCACATACACATTGGCCAACAAGGCCTGAATAGGACCACTGTCCCGAGTCACCAACTCTGGAAAAGCTAACACCGCTATCCCTGCTATTCTTTCCTCCAATTCCTCATTAGTCTCTCCTTCTTCTTGCTGCAGCCGGAATAATTTCTTGACTGCCTCAATGGCCGTATGTTCACTTGCGTATTGCCGCACTAGAGCGGATTTAAGCTCAGTCCACGTCAGGGCCGGTAACTTGGACACCTGCCCTGCTGCGGTGTCGTAAGCTAGGAGCACCATTTCTTGGTCTAAGAGGCTATAGATCACCTGCTTCTTCTGAATGGATAGAATCCATTCATGCAGGTCCGCAGGGTTTCCTTTATAAGTAGGTAGCTTCATGCTACCTATCAGCCTCCTGAAACCCATCGATATTTCTGGACCATCTGTCCCAATGGTCATCTGATCCTGATCCTGCTACGCCATCCTAGCATCTTGTCAACTACCACCACTTTCTCACAAGAAGTGAGATCAACGACAGAACAAAAGAAAAAATACTTAACACAATGGTGGCACTTCAACTGCATACAAAGTCGACAAAGTCAAAACAAGATCAACAATATTACTGGCAGATCTAATTGCAATGAGGAAAAAAAAGGAAACCAAAAAGTGACTTACCTGTGGTCCGTCGCCCATGTTTTGTTTCTTTTTTCCTCCTTCTTTTGCTTCCTCCTCTTTTCCTCATTATGTCCCTTTTAGACCAATATAGTCCCAAGACTAGAGTCCTTTCTAGTCTTACTTGGTCCCGACTGGACAAACAAACCTTCTTTCCTCTTTCAGACGGCCGTGGTAATTCCCACGGGTCTATCCTGTCACCACGCACCAGTCTAACACTTTCACCCCAGACCCTCAACCTCCGGTGTCTTACTCTCTGTATTGATGTGCCTATTCGGTCCTAACCGAACTTAAGGGAGTGCCATAGGTCCCCTGAGCATCCGTAGATTATTCGACCAGTCCGCTGGTTTAATCCTACTTCCTGCCCACGTTGTGATTTTTTGATCCAGAAAGCAGAAGTGATGTCTGTCCATTCACGGTCAACAGAATATGTAGACACGGCTGGAGAGTCTGTGCTAAGAAATTTAGAATGCAGCAAAAAAAAAAATTAATATCTGCAGAAAGCCGGACAAACAACTATTCAATTATTCTATCGAATTGTTAATGTCTTTTATATAGCAGAAAAGAACAGTATAGAAAAGAAACTGGTTACAGAAAAGAAAAGTAATTGACATAAAAATGCATACACTAGATTCTGGACAGAGAGAGAGTGTGTTATGATTAACTTCTTGTTAAATTGTCTCAGAACGATATACAACTCTTGTGATAGGGGAATAAGATTTCTGTGCGCGGCTTAAAGTTTATAGTGGCGTTCCTCCTTAGCAGTAGTAACAGTAGTAGTAATATTCATGGTTGCAGAAGCAGCAGTACTTATATCAACAGTACATGTTAGCGGACGCTTCATTCCAATCTCTGACATCACTTTCTCTCCTTCTTGAGTATCCTTATTGCTCACATGTTTAGTCCTTTAGTTTCAGCGTCTGTCTGTAGAACCTAATTTCTGTCTCTTCATCTGTAAGGATTAGCATTAACTGCTATATAGGAGGATAAATATGATATAGCAGTTCAGCACTCTTTTATTTTGTTTCTTACAAACATTTCTTATCTCTTAATAATTTGCTTACTTTCAGGAAGTACATTGTTATTGCAATGTACCTTTGAATTTCTATATCATATTTTTTATCATTTGTTACTATACTACCCAGATAGAACTAAGTACAGAAATTTAACTGATGTCACCAATTTTTAGCTCATACTTATGATTATTCTCTTTCCCATATAAATCTAGTTTTCCTAGCAGTTCAAATAAGCTTTTGAGTTGTATTTTATCAAATGCTTTTGTGTAATCTATGAAGCATAGGTCTTTTTTTTTATTTGTATTGCTTTTTCTTATAGCATTCCAATCATAAAGATAGCATTTTTGTTCCAGTATCTTGAACAAAGCCAGACTGTTTTACCCTATTTCTGGTCTAATTCTGCTATAGTCTCTATTCATTAACATTCTAATTACATAACTCATTAAGCTGATTGTCTGGAGTTTGCATTCATTTGCACCTGGTTTCTTTAGCATCACTATGAAGACAGATCTACTTTCAGTATATTGCTACTGTTATATATTTTATTTATTTCAGTAATCTGAATTTTTGATCATTTTATGCATGCCCACTATGTCTATGTTTTACAGTATTTCTATTTTATTTCTAATTGAGCTATTCATCTTTTGCTTATTTGCATTTCTTTTTAATGTTTTTTTTTTTTATGAACATCCTATATATTGTACCATTCCTTGGCATTTTTTGCAATCTCTTTTTCATCAGCTCAAGAATTTCATCTGTCATCTACTTTTTTTTGTTACTTGTCTCTCTCTCTCTGAGATGAACACATTTGCCAGTGTCATTTGAACCTTGCTTAAGATGTTCCACTTTGAATTTCTGACTTCTTCTAAGCTCTTACATTTGCTTTTTACTCTGTCAGCAGACATCTGTTTGCAAATTAAATTTTCTTGGAGTTGTATTGCAGTTTAGGTATTGTTTTGTATTTCTTAATTTCTGTAGTTTTAGCCTGAGTTTACATACAACTGGTAGAGGTGGTCACTACCACAGATTAAGTTTTAGAGTGTATTTCTGAATCTTCATTTGATTGTTAAGTAGTCTGTCTAGTTCTTTGCTTGGATTTTCCATGTCTATAATCATCTTGGATGTTCTTACTTGGTGGTTATTACTTGATCATTCATTTTGCACCACTGAACCCATTTTTTCTGTGCTTATTGCATGATTCAAGTCTTGTCTCTTTGATACTTTTTGCATTTACAACACTTATGATGATAATTTTCAGCAATCTTTACTACCTCTTTTCATTATCTAGTGTGATATGAAACTTATATAATTCTTCTTTAGTATTTTTTATTATGTTGGTGAGTATACTATTATGATGACTATATTGAAAGGTTCTTTTTTCATTTTTACGAGAAATCTGTCCAACAGTTAACAGTTACCAGTATCTTGAAACATATTTCCTCATTTTTTTTAATATTATTCCTACTCTTCTTTCATTTGTTTCTCCCAATACATATATAATTCTTTATCCATTGCTTAAGATACAACAATTATTTATCCATTTAATTTGACATACTCCCAGACTGTCTTCATATGTAGTTACAAACAAATATTATTACTCCGTTTAGCCTTATGCTATTTGTAAAAATGAAATAAGGAAATATAATGTTTGAACTAGAGAAGTTACCTTGTGGTTTTTACTGCCACCACCGTGTCTCTTGATCTTAAACCTATTCCCTTGTCACTTAGTATTATGCTATTATCTTTCTACAAGTTTTTTTTTTCCTTCTTCTTCTTGGTTTTTCAAAGTCTTTCCAATTTTCTGATTATTGTCATTTGGAGTCACGTATTCTTATGTCCATACTGTATTCACTTTCTTTGACAGGATTTATTGATATTTATGATTTTGTTTTTTGCAGAATTTCTGTTTATATTTCGCTGTTCACTTTGTAAATGCTATAGATCTTTGAATTAATTAAATTCAACAATTAATGTGCAAAGTAAAGGGTTAAAATATTCTAAGTGCCATTGATAGTTCCAAATTGTAATGAACTTGAAAAAATGTTATTTTTAAGGAGTTTGTATGTGCTTTTTTTCTTTTTTAGGTTCTCTTCAATTTCACTAAAAGTGTGTGAGGTGTCCGTATTAAAAATTAGTTTTAATTTAATTTAGTTGTTACAAATTTTCTCCCTGTTTGATCATTTAAAATGGTTTCAACCAGAATGAGGCTTTATATTTGTATATGTGGTACATGTTAGCACCTCTTCAACACTTTATCATCACTATTTCTTTTGCCATAATGTTACCACTATTTATTTCAGGTTTTATGTAGAAACTATCGCTCAACTACGGGATAAACCAGCAATTGAATTATTCTATTTCAATGCAAAACAAGCTATATATAAGGTAAGTGGGATCAAGTAGGTTGAAGATAAAAAATATTTCAACAACTTAAAACTACTAATGTCTGTTTATGGCTGTTACTTTTTTCTTTTCTTTTCTTTTTTTTCTTTTTTCTTTTTTTTCTTTTTTCTTTTTTTTCTTTTTTCTTTTTTTTTCTTTTTTTTTTTTTTTTTTTCTTTTTTCTTTTTTTTTCTTTTTTTTTTTTTTTTCTTTTTTTTTTTTTTTTTTTTTTTTTTTTTTTTTTTTCTTTTTTTTTTTTTTTTTTTTTTTTTTTTTTTTTTTTTTTTTTTTTTTTTTTTTTTTTTTTTTTTTTTTGACACATTAATTATACAAATACATAAATATTAATTTTCTTTACCATTTTAGTATATCTTTAAATTTACATCTGTATGAATATATTGTATTTTGCTTTTGTAAAGTAAATTTTGATTTTGATCTTGCAGTTTATGACATTTTATTAATTAAACCTTTAAATTGCTGAATATTTTTTATAAAAAGAAAGGATTAAATGAACATCAACAGTAGAAGAACAATTGACAAAAATTGGATTTATTGAATGGGAGTGCTCTTTAACTTCAAAGATTTGCTCATTGATTTTCTTTTTTGACAATTTCAAATGACTCTTAGTCATCAAATAATGATGAGCACATCTTCTGAAGAAATAATGTTTTTATTCTTTTCTTATGCCTTGTATATCCTGGTGAGGACTGACTGAGTGTTTTATTTTGTTATCATTATTGACTTTTATTTTATCACTCAAGATATACTTGTCATTATTACTGTTATTTTACTACTAGTTTAACTCCATCTTATTATTGTTGCTTTTTATTATAACATCCTGGGTTGATTATCTTCAGTGTAAAATCAGAAATAAATAACTTCTGACAAAATTTGAATTTATATCTTGCATCTCAAGAGCCCAACTTTTATGAACATTGCTGTTACCACTTTGATCAGAATATGCTCCATTTAAAAATTTCCAAAACCAAAATTCAAGCCTCCTTCCACCAATTTTATCAAATCCGTATATAATTGTACTTTAATAATTTTTCTTTGTATACTCATTTTGAGTAGAATATGTATAGCATTTCCATAATGCCTGGCCATCATCTTTTGTGTCAGAGGATTGTCAGGATTTTAAGACAGTTTTCAGTGAATAAAAGTCACTGAAAACTTGGCACAAAAAATATTTCTAAGTTATTTTTTTATTGTAAAAATATTCTTTAGTTTGATCTAAAAGTGATGAAATCACAATGTTTCATGAATTTAGACACACAGACATATACACAACCTTTATCAACCTTTTGCTGTTCTAAGTTAATGGTTGTGAGCATAATTGGGAGTAAAAAAGTTTTCTAATCTTTGACTGTTAATTTTTGGTTAATGATAGGTAGAGTAGAAAGGTGTGTCTACTTTTATTTAATCATTTGGTATTTTTACTAAGTGGATGTGTCAAAAAAATCACTTTTAAAATTAGTAAAACTTTTTTCTGAAACCTTCACATGATTTTTCTGTAATTTTTTTTTAAGATATTTAAAAAAAAAAATCAAATATTTTAGCATAAAATTCAAAATGTTTATAATTTAATTTAGTTTTATATTTGTTAGTTCCTCCATCTCTTAATTTTTAAAGAGGTCAGTGCTTTCTTGTATATTTGTTTTTTTTATGGTTTTACACTAAAATTCTCAAGTTTATCAGGTTGCATGTTGAAATATTCATTCTGCCCGTGATATCAACTAAACTGAAGTCAGTCATCAATTTCAACAGTTCTTTAAAGATAAAAGGCACCTTTTGTACCTGTTTCCTACACCCACCAAAATTATTCTAGATTCCTGTTTGTTCAACAAGTATGCAAAGCTTGTCCCAGTTTGTTCTGTGAATGTGTAATTGCTTTGTAGAACAAGTGTCAAGAAGCCATTGCAATGCAAAGAGGAGACATGAAAGTTGGTGCCTCTTATTCACACATGCAAAGCTTCTACTTGATTATTGTCTGCACAGGAAATTCATTTTTTGGATGTGAATTCTGACTCACACTAACAACTACACTCTTTCTATCTCTTATGATTGTCACATGGCTTTTAGCCTTCCTGTCTGCCTACTGTGACAAAGTCTGCATACTCCCACCCAGTCACCTTACAACCTTAATCCTTGCTAGATGTTAGCCAATTAAATTGAACTATTCAATAACTGCTTCTTTTACTTTCATTTTCATAACGTGTCATCAGGATAATGTTTTTTGTTTTTTTACTTGTTGACTTTCTATGAAAATGCTTCATTTTGTTATTTTCTGCTCCCAATAGATTTTGTGTCATGAGATTGCATTTTTCATTGATCTTTGTTTTAGAAAATCATATTTAAAAAAAAAAAGAAAAAGAAATAGAAAACCCCCAGGTGAATTCCTAATGTGATTACCAGGAGTAGGATCAAGCAATAACATGACAGTATTTTTCAATCATTATTTAAATGTTCATTTCTCTTTATCATTCAAAATCTAATCCTTTCCTGCAATTGATTAGACTATCACATCAGGATATTTATTCTGATTTTTTTTATATGATGAAGGATTCTAAAAATAGTTTTTATTCATAAATTGAAGTTTCTTCATGTTAGCATTGAAAATATGATTCCTGTCTAAATAATTGCTAATAAGATGAAATATGTTCCATCAAATAAATTGAACAAAGAAAAAGAATTTGAAACATGACTCATTATATTTAGTTTTAGTAGATCACTTTACATGCATATTTTTTTTTTGATATTTTAATAAATTTGCTCTGAGTTTGATATTTTTAATTAATCCATTTTGTCTCTATTAAATTTTTTTTTTTTAATGTAAATGTCAGTTATCAGTACCTCTGAAAGTTCTCCACTGCCATTTGTTTTTCTTTGGGTCTGTAACTTTTTCCACTGTTATTTTAAATAATGTTTTCCAGCATCATTTTTACCAGTGGGGGGTTCATACCTTTTATTAAATCTTCTCAATTTATCCATATTGTAATTAAAATGTTTTATGATATATTTTTACATAATACTTTTTATTAGAGTCTATATCGCTAAAGCCAACTATATGGTTAAAGACACTTTCATACTCTAAGATGGTTCAAGGAACTCAATAAGACCTTACAGTTCAAATGGAGAAAGAGAATATGGATGTAAAATCTCAACAAAATGGGTTCAAGACATCCAGAATCAAAACAGAAGATAATTTTTCCCACCATCCATACAGCAAAGAAGGGAATCCGATTTTACAAGATCAAAGTGGCGATCCAGAGACGTTAGATAAGGAATTGGTCAGTATAAGTAGTACCCTAAACGCAACAACTACCCTGGGTACATGGCAGCAGCCCCCAAAAACTGGGATAGGCCCAAGAGGAGGAGGAGGAGGACAACAACACTCAGAAAACAGTCTGCCTGCCTTAAAAGAGAAAATACAAAAGATCTGCGGTCCATATAACATCAGGAAACCTTCAAAAGTTACAACACTTGGCCCCCATTTCAAAGACTGTCCCATGCAATGATAAAGACAGGCTTGTCAAGAACCAAAAGCTGTATAGTACTGTGCTATGGAAATCACCGCCCCCTGTCTAGATATAGACAGGGAACACCATTGGTTGGTCCTGGTTCAGCCGACCAAGCATAGAAATAAATACAATATGGGAACCATTGGTTAATGATAACAAAGCTGCTGAACTTGTTGATAACAAAATTGCAATATGAGCACTGGTAAAAATGACATTAGGTTTATAATACTCAGAAGTTCATACCCAGTGGACTCAGCACAGTGGATAAAGGTCTTGGTTAGATCCAGTGACAGACCCAAAGAAGGTGAGTTCATTGAGGTTAAGGCAAAGATTTTCAGAGGGAAAATTAGTTGTAACATCCATTAAACATCACGAATTAGAACTGTTCTACCCAGCATGACCGAAATAAAGTTTGAAATTCCAACCACCTGAAGAAGGCAAAGCAGACAAAAATGAAAATAGTCCCACTAATGAAGTCCATTTGGAAATTTTTTTATTTCAATGTAAAAGCAACCATTTTTTTTGTGGTTTAAATACTTATAGTTCTTTTAAATTATCAATTTTTATAAAATAACTTTTTATGATATTTTTTTTTATTCTTTTACTGCAAGGCAATAAAGCTACTAAGATGCAAAGAGTTACTGAGTGTTAGAGAATATGAAAAAAAACATTAAAAGAACAATAAAAGATTCAAATTAAGAAGAAGAATGTTTGATATTGCATTTAAATTTTTGAAGATCAAAGTTGACTGGGAAGCAAGAAGCCAGAAGATTCTCACAAGTGACAAGAAATAACTTTATAAAATAAAATATTAAATAGAACTTAGTTACATCTAAAAATTTCAGCTGTCAAATGATAATGACCTTTGTCTGCTTTAAATTCATTAAATACAAATTTTTTGCAGGTTGGTTAAGTTCAGTTCCTTTACTTTTTTTTGTTTTTGAATTTATTGACCACCCCACATTTTCTGCAAAATAATGTTTGCTCTTTTTGTATTGAAATAAATTGAATTGACTTTTTGATCTTGAGACTCAGAGCAAAAAAGACAAAATAAAAGAAACAAAAAATTTTTAGGTCAATTTTTTGGGGAAAAAATAACTTTTCTCATTTTGAATTTTATTGTGAAATATTGATTCATTTTAGCTAAGTCTTTCACAAGGCTTTGATGTTTCCAACAAGAGTTCTTTTGATAGTTATCTGGTTTTTGGAAATGGAAAATTTTTTTTTTTATCTATTTTGTTGGCCCTTAAAAAACAAATTTGGGGGAGATCCCTTTTCTTTATTATCTGGGAAAATTATCTCTCTAAATTTGGTTTTCCTATCATTTATAGTTACTATCCGTTTTCTTACTCATTCTTTCTCTTATTTGTGCCTCACACCATTGCTTCCCAAAGGGCGCAGGCAATTCCTCTGTCTCTATTGATATCCTACCCAAGCCTTTCACCTCGGTTGTCATTTTGACAAATCTGATTTTTAAACTCC